AGGCGGATCACAATAGCGATCGATCAGTATAGGGTTTTCGGTGATTCTTCAAATTTTAGATTAGGTTACATTATACTACGATATTTTATAGAATGGCACCTGTTTCTGTGTCAGCTCTCCACAGTCAGATTCTTTGGCTTGCCAATCAAAACACTTTGAGGCCCTTACTGCCTGTCAATCATTTTATGTGGTCACAGGGAAGGCCATATATGGTAAACGGGGAATCTGAGAGCATGGTAGGTGAAGCAGATCATTTGAGTTCAGTTGTTGTGAGAGAATGCTAGCAAAATAGCGGATGGTTTTGATAACATTTGAGATGATGTGCAGCTACTTTTGTTAATATACTGGTCCCATTAACAGTGTTTTTGTAGGATGGTAGTTAGTAGTGGGGGAATCAAATTGTGATTGTTCTGTTAAAACTTGGCATTGTGATCTTTCTTTCTTTCTTTCTTTCTTTCTTAAAACTCCAGGTTTGATTGTTTGTAGAGCTGCATAATGTGACTAAAAATATTTTTTACTTCATATATCAGTATGACATAGTCATATACAAATTTTACATATTATGTAAAAATTAAATACTTTTTTTAAGAAAAATAACAAAATAAAACAATAATAATAAAATAAATAAAATTAAATTAAAAATTAAATGTGCATGAAAAAGTGACACAAGCTTGCATGCAGAGTTGAAGTTTATGAAGAGGCATTTACTGAGAACCGAGGCACGAGTGAGCTGCACATGTGTAAAAGAACACAGTGGCACGCTTTACTCTGAAACATGTGTGATTTGCTGAGCCAAGCGCACGGGAGGCAGTTTGGATGGTGACATGCACCTTTCGGAAGAGGTTCATGACACAGTGTCACCTCTTACCCCGCAGGTTCCTCAAGACGAGTGGGGAGGCTTTCCACTGGGGAAAGATGAGGATATCCCGTGCAGACGCATGCGCAGCGGGAGTTACGTGAAAGCCATGGCGGAGGATGACAGCGGAGATTCGGACGGCAGCCCTAAACCCTCGCCCAAGATGCAGGCGCGACGGGCCAGCTACCTCAAAGCCACCCAGCCATCACTCACAGAGATGACCACTCTAAAGTAAGTTCTAAGATTTAGATCCATTGTGTTGTTTGTATTAATATTTGTAGTGTATAAGTTTAACACAAACACTAGTTTTTCATTCGAACCATGGTTTTTGTTAACTAAAACCATTTGAAAACCATTTTGTTACTTTAAATAAAAATAAAATGTTACCTGAAATAAAATAAAATATAACAAATCTTAAACTTACTTTATTTTAGCTACTTGCAAGGCATTATTTATCATTTTAGTTTAGTTTAACTTGAATTCCTGAAGTAAATAAAACTTAAATAAAAATTGCTAAAAACAATATAGACATATTTAAGGGGGAAAAAATGATACACAATGACAGAAATGGGGGGAAAAAACACACACACAACAAACAAATTAAACCTTTAACTGAAACTAAAATGAAAACAAAATATAAAAAAAAATATTGATAATAAAACTATACTAAATTTAAAAAATACTAAATAGTTACTAAAATAACACTGTTTTGATTGTTTGCCATGTATCATGCAGGCGTATTTGTGCAATTAATTCTTTAATTGATATACCAAGTGTTTCATGTTTTGGAAATTATTATATAAATTATTATGATGATTATTATATTATTGAAATATTATATTAAAATTAATTATATATGTAATGATTGTTTACTGTACTGTAGTATGGAATAGTCAGTGTTGTTGTTTTTTTTGTCATTACGAAAACAATTGTAAATTGTTGGAAAAATGAGCTAAATAAAAGGGTTCACATATTTAATAGCCAATATTTTAAAGGGGTCATATGATGCGATTTAAATTTGTCCTTTCTCTTTGGAGTGTTACAAGCTCTTGGTGCATAAAGAAGATCTGTAAAGTTGCAAAGACTAAAGTCTCAAATCCAAAGACTGAGAACCGAGGCACGAGTGAGCTGCACATGTGTAAAAGAACACAGTGGCACGCTTTACTCTGAAACACATAACACATATATTAATGTAATTTAAAATGGATAATTACCATATTAAAAAAAACCATTTATGTTATTTTGATTAATCACACAGCCCTCGTCGGCGCCAATAGCCTTGTTGGCTGTCCCGAGTTCAAGTCCTGGCTTGCGGACCTTTTCCGATCCCGTGCCCCTCTTTCTCTCTCGCTCCCCCACTTCGCTTCCGGTTCACTTACTGTCCTATCGAAATAAAGGCATAGAAAACACTTTAAAAAGTCACTTTTAAAAACACTTTTAAAAATGTGCTATGGGGCTAGAATAAGCACCTAAAGATATAAACTGAAATTCTGTTAATGGAAGGAAATGGAAGCTCTCATGTGGGACACAGTCTTTCATCCCTTGAAATGATGAAGCGAGGCCCAGTCTGCTGTGAGGACTCTGAGTCTTGTATCTGCTCAACAGGATTTATCCTCATTTTCTGCTCATCAGACTCGACTTGACTAAAGGCTTGTGTGGATGTGGTATCTTTGAAGGAAGTTTTTGTGTTTGTCGGGTCTGTGAGGGTGTGTGTGGGCAAAGAACCCGTGTTACTGGAGTCATTCTTCCTCTGACTGCCTTTTATACACTTCCTGACGTCAAGGCCAGCCGTTTCCCCAGTAACACAAGCTCTGCGCTGATTCATATAATCACAGTGAAATTCTTTAAAGTGGGATTTTCTCTCGATGCCAGCCGTGAATCTCTTTCCAAACCTTAAAATGAACCTCCATGCAGAGTGATGCATGCAGCACACCAGCCTGACACACAGCTGTGCTCTCTGTTAGCATGAGTTTTGTATGGCCTTCATAATTTGCATGCTCACATTCTGAAACTTTGAATTGATATTTGATTTTTGCATGGAAGCAGTGTTCGAATTGAGCGGGGCTGGATGTTCCCAGAGCCACATAATAATAATAAAAAAATAAATTCATAAAATTGATGAAGGCCCATTCTATTTCTTTAAGAAAGAAAAACCTAAATTATTTCCAGTTATTTCCCTGACATACTGTGATTTATCCAACTTTAGTAATTAGTGAATAATTTTTGTTTTTTATTTATTTATTTATTTTCCCATTTTTGTGAGGCATTTAAACAATGGGACTAATACTGTGGATCCTTGTTGTTATATGATAAGAGCACCACCAAGTATTACTGACTTTTGTGACTGTAAGCTCATGCAATTAAAATTAATTATTAGAGTGGTTATGTATTTGCTGAACAATCACATTTATAACAAACTGGCAGGTATTTTTGCAACTGGAGTTTACAATGAGTTCAGCCCTTCTTTGAGGTCAAATAATCAAGTGAAACCAACTAAAACTCAAATGAAACCATATGAGGTGCTGTTTCTACATCTGCTGACATAGAGTTGTAGTTGTGGTTGATTTATTAAAAAAGGGAAAAATTAGCTATGTATTATTGGAAATTGAGCCTTGGTCACTGTGCATAAATTTAACAGTGACACGTCCTAACTAATAAGCATTATATATACATATATATATATATATACATATATATATAT